GCACTTAACAACAACAACAACAATAAAATAGCAAAACCAGTTCCTATAGATTGCTTTTCAACCTTGTGATTAAGAGTTCCATACCTAATTCTACATTGCCCTGCATTGCCCCAGATCACTAAGAATTCTCTGCTTTCTTTCCTTTAGAGTGAGGATGACAGTCAGCTTTCATTTCATGGTGTGGCTTATGTTAATATGGTACCATTGCTGTACCCGGGTGTGAAGAGGATTCGGGGAGCTTTCCATGTTTACCCTTATCTAGACAGTACGGTGTATGAAAAGGTAAGCAAAAAGACATAGATTCATCATTCGGAGTTATCCTTATATGTATGTATTTACTTCAGTCATTAGTTGACACATCTGCACAACTGATATTTGGAACCAGTTGGTATGCTAGGATGTTAAATATAGGACCTCACAGTCATTTTGACATTGAACTTTAGAAACTTAAGGATATTGAATGGTAAAAGTTAGAAACAACCCAAACATCCATCAATAGGTGAACAGAAAAACAGATTTGAGTGTTATATTCATAGAATGCAATGCTGCTCAGCAATGAAAAGGAACCAACTATTAATATACATTTAACAACATGTCTGTATCACAAGTTGTTGTTGTTATTAAGTGCTGTCAAGTTGGTTCTGACCCATAGTGACCCTGTATAGGGTTTTCAAGGAGCAGCTAGTGAGCTTCACTAGTGCTTTAAACTAAAAAAGGAAGTCACATAAAAGAGTGTACATACTATAGGTATCTGTTTATATACCATTCTTGGATACTACTCTAGCGACAGAAACCAGGTATCAGTGATTATCGAGAAAAAGGATGGAGGGAAGGAAGAATTACAAAGGAATGTAAATTTATATTAGGGGTGATAGAAATGTTCATTATCTTGTTTATGGGATGTTTCAAAGATATATACATATATGTAAAAATGTATTGATGTGTATACCTTATATAATTTATTATACTTCAATTTCAATTCAAGAACTTTAGAAACAAAACAGTTAAGATAATGAAAGAAGTTTGTTACATTAGTTATACAGAACTGTAAATCCATGTGCTGATTAATGAGTTAGAATATTGATTGCTTATTTTTCAGGTATTAAAACATTAATAACTAGTATGGTCCTGTAGGGATTCCTGGTGTTGTTGCCATGGAGTCATAGCAACCCTGCATCAAGTTTCCAGGTTGGTGGGTTTGAACCACCAGTCTTGTTATTAGTAGTCCTTGAATAAATTAGTACTTCCTTGGATAAATCCTTACAAAGTAGGATTTCTGGTTCAAAGAGCACTGGTATGGAAAGGTTTACTCACTTAACAAATGTTACTGCCGTTAGTGCCATTGAGTTGATTCTGACCCATAGTGACCCCGTACAGGGTTGCCGAGGAGTGACTGGTGCAAAAAATTTATACCACTTTATACTTCTACCAGCAGTGAATGATAACTGCTGTTTTACCACACTTTTGCCAATCATGGGCTCTATCGTGTTTTAAAGTACTGTCAAATTTGATGAATAAAAGAGTATTTTATTGCTATTTAAATTTGCTTTTCCAAAACATTATAAGTAAGGTTAATTGTTTCTGTTTGTGTTTACTGGCCATTTGTACTTCCTTTCTGAACTGCTGGTTCATGTACTTTGCCCATTTAAAAAATATTGGTGTATTTTTTCTATAGATTTAAAAGAGTGCTTTATATATTGTTATATAATAGCAATATTAACTATCTTTGTGCAAATAGTTTCCCCACTTATTTTGTGCTTTTGTTTATAATGGTTTCTTTAACACATAAAAGTTTTTTTTTTTTTCTTTAATTGTGAATTGAGTGAAGGTAAACAGACAAGATCATCAGCTTTACTTTCACCCAATCATACGTTTTGTTTCATCTCAATGATTACACTCCCTTCCTGTAACAACAGTTATCCTGCTTCCACCTTGTGACTTCCCTTTTACATCTTATTTTTCCCAAGTGAACAAAGAAAAAATATTTGATCTACATATACAAAACATATGTATATTCATTTAAATGTCCAAAGGACACAATTTGCCAGCAAGCCAGCTGTCCAGAGGCACAGAGCCTTTCTCAGGCCATGGGTCTAGAGTCCTCAGCTGCTCTCTCTCTGTCACCACCTCTGCCACTGTCTCTGTTACTGCCTTTTTGGATAGGATTTCACATTCCATTCACACTCTTCCTTCTTGATGGTCCTGGGGTCTGCTCTTCCTGAAATGAAAGATTAACTGCTATTCCCTTTTTGTACATATTTTCTACCATTACAGCTGTGACAATTATGATTAATCCTGCTAACAGTTACTCACAATTGAATCATAAAATCCTATCACCATTATCGCCCATCCCCTTTCACCAGATCCATCTGGAAAGAGGAAAACTATTTAGTGGGGATGACCTGACTGCCCTCATTCTGAAACTAAGCACAGTCATGAAAGCTTATAAACTGGCCACGCTGTGCTTTTGTGGTCCCCCCATTTTTGATAGTCAATGTCTGAGTTTTCCATACTTATTAACCCAGTGCTCTGAGGAAATAAGCTTGATCCTTAATATGAAGAATCCTTCCATTTCATTTGGAATTTTGAGCATCTACATCCATAAACAAAGGTCCAGTTCATCAAATTGCAGCAATTTATGCTTGCTCTCAGTATCAAAATTCTTTATCTTTATCTGCTTGAGTCTGTTCAGCTAGCCATTCAAACTAGGTCAAATGGGTACTGTCTGCAAGTTCTGGAGCTCTTACACATTTCCCCACGCTTCAGACTAGCTGGCCGCGTCACTCTCAGCTCTAGTCCCCAGTGGCTAGATCAGTGTCCATGGGTCCAGGAGTTCACACATCTCCCTAAACTTCAGACCAGCCAGCCCTTCCTCTCTCTCTTTCTCATCTCAAGGTCAACAGCTGTCAGTGGAATATGGCCAAACTCAGCCTGTGTCTACACTGCTACATTTCCCCAACTTCCACTCACAAGTAGACCAGGACAGTCACCAGCGAACATACTTGCGTACTTGTGGGTTCCCTTTGAGTTTCTGTTTTAGAAAGGGTTACCATTATTTTTGAAGGATAGATTGGTTGGATATAGAGTTCTTGTAATTAAGTGTTTTATTCTTTCAATACTTTGAATATGTCATTCCACTGACTAAAGTCATGGTATTTTCGATAGCCTTATATGCATGTGAAAGCTAGACAATGAATAAGGAAGATAATAAAAGAACTGATGTTTTTGAGTGATGACATTGGAAAAGAATATTGAAAGTACCATGGACTGCCATAACAACAGACGAATCTGTGCTTGAAGAAGTACAGCCAGAATGCTCCTTAGAAGTCAGGATGACAATACTCGTCTCTCATACTTCAGACATGTTGTCAGAAGGGACCAGTCCTTGGAGAAGGACATCATGTTTGGTAAAGTGGAGAGTCAGTTAAAAAGAGATGGATTGGCACAGTGGCAGCAGCAGTAGGCTCAAGCTTAACAACAATTGTGAGGACGTTGCAGGACTGGGCAGTATCGGTATGACTTGGACCTGACTCAGCAGTACCTAACAAGAATAAGATAATAAAAAGTCAGTTCTCCCTAAAGTTATCTATAGATTGAATACAGTTCCTATTAAGATCCTGCCAGATGTTTTTTGCTGATTTTAACATTTACGTGAAAATGCAAAGAATCTAGAAGAGACAAAAATTGTTGTGAAAAATGACTCAATTTCAAACTTTATTATAAATCTACAATAATCAAGACAAAAGTGATATTGGCACAAGAGCATCCATATCAGTCAATGGAATAAAACTGAAGGTCCAGAAATAAATCCAACATTATGGTCAATTGAGTTTGATAAACGTATTTATATGGTTCAATAAGGAAAGAATAATTTTTTCTACAAGTAAAACAACTGGACATTTATATGCAAAAAAAGAAAGATTTTATCTCACACTGTATATAACAATAAACCCT